TTAATAATTTAATAATTTAATTTAACAATTTTGATAATTTAAAAATATAATAATTTTAATAATTGATGCGTACAATTCAATAGTTTCTAATTTTAAATAAAACTAGTAAGTTTAAACATTAAAATAGAATTAAAAACGTACAATGTAAATAATATTAATAAATATTAAAAACGTTCATATTGAACAAATTGAAAAAATAAAGTTCTTCGATAGTGCTAAGTATAATTCGCAAAAATTTAAATCACTACATCTTACTCCATTAGCACCAAAATGTGCATAACGAGTCGAGAAGCTGTTACTTGATAATAATTACAATTATTAACCTTGTGCAAACGAACATAATTTTTATTTCGCATATGCTTAAACTGTGTGCAAATCTCAATTTACCACTCGGCAAACATCTTGTGCAAGACTCAGTTCAGATGTATGTTAGAAATGAGGAAGTGAGTATTCGACACCGAAATTATAACTTTACGTAACAGTGTTAAAAATGAAAAAAAAAGTTCTATCACGAAGTTAAAATATACATGGTTAAAAGTATATCTAACGACAGAAATACGAAACGATCGAATTGCTCAATATTTGCTTGCACGCAAAAACCAATGAAGCGACCGCAAAATCAAAACAGCTCGTAAACTAAAGAAATGAACAAACAGACACCGACGTGTATTCCCTCTTTTTTTACCAATACATTGATCATCCCGTGAGTTCCGAATGAACAATCCGAGGTATCGCGAGTGTGCTCGATGAAAACTTGAAAAATATCATTCCAATGTCTAAACATTGCAACTATTTATTTTACAGAACACGTTATTTATTTTAGAAAACAAATTTAAGTGTTGCCGTTACACAGCTTTTTCCCTCCGATTATTTCCCGAATTCGTTAGTAATAAAAACTATATAAATACATGTAATTAAAATCAAGATCGTTGATTAAAAGTTAAAATTATTTAAATAATTATTTAAACGAATAAACAAAATAAAAAATAAGTAAATAACCAAGAGACGAAGAGAGAGAAAAGTATTATAAATAAATTATTAAAGAGATAAAATTAAATTATCAATAATCTCTTTATACATATATACAAATTGATTTTTTATTTCTAAAAATTAAAAATGTTAAATGCGAAATGTTTAAACCGATGACTAAATACGTCATAAAATTTTCGTTGAGTTTTGAAATATTTCAGGAATTATGTTATGATGCTGGCTCTCTCCATATGGTACTTTATGAAGTCAACACATGTATCAGGAGTGAGAAATATTACACACGGTATATCGAAGCATATACGATCTATCGGATTTCCCGAGGGTAGTAGTACAGGGGTATGGTGGATCAATCATTCATTTTTCATCTACTAATGCGTCTTAGACCGTGCAAAAAAGCAGCCTGTTAATTCAATATTAATCAATTACACTTCAAGTAAAGTATGATCTGCAAGTCTCTCAAGAAAAACTCAAAATAAATATTTGATTTGATATAATGGCAATTTCTATTCAAAAATATTGAAAAAGATTTTTATCTATCGCAAAAGAAATATGATAAGAGACCTTAAATGTAATTTGCAACTTTTGGCAACCTCTGTAAAATTTGTAGACGTTTTTCGTTTTGTAAATTTATATATTGATATATTTCGATAAATTAAAATCGTTGAAAATTAATCCTAATTGCATTTTCTAATCTATCGATGACTAATCGTAATCTATTTATCATCTTCTAATTTCTTTAAATAGAACTTTTTTTAGAGATTTTAAAGATTTTTATTTGGTTTACAGATATTCTTCGCACTGGGAGTTCCCTTAGATATTCCTGATAAATCTGTAGCGGTGTCATTTTATTTCGAAGCAAATTATGCATTACCATTCGAATTTAATTCGAGTTACTTCTACGAGGGAACTTATTATACAAAACGAAGTCTTAGTCGTCAATTAGTATATAAAGTTTTCACAAGCAAAATAGACAGGTAAGATAAAGCTTCCTTATCAATTATTCTTCATTTCATAATTCTGCAAAATTTTGCCTAAAATATAATTTTGCAAATAAAATTTAAAAAGGTTCCATATGTATCTTATAACAGCTTTGGCTATCCTGGACTAGATTGTCTACTAAGAACAATCTGCGAAGCTGGAAAATATTCCTTAAACGAAAACGGCGTGCTTGGTGACATTCTTCGAATTATATTCACGTATGATAAAAAAACTGTTTAAAATTATATCAAGTAAAAAATTAAAAAGTTAACAACAACATACTGTAATATTATACACAATAACATATTATAAGTTAATAATTTATAATAGTAGTAATAAATAAGAGATGGGAATTTTAAAAAATTGGATTTCGATTAACTTATCTGATGAATTTTTATTTTCAATCAATGTTTATCCGACAGACGTTCATATAATCATTTATCTGGATGATAAAATCAATAATATAAGAATTATTACATTTAAGCGCATTCCTTTATTACAGACCCTCTATGTCGATGAGTGAAGATCTTCCGGATGAAATTATCGAAGCCGAAAGCGAGCAACACTGTAATCAGCGCTACGAAAGATGTCCTGTAAATCTTTTAGATCTAGTAAGCTATTAGTCAGCACTAAATGAATAATTCTGCATAATTATATTGCATCAAGAATATCGGAAAATAATTTATATAATTTATCAAAAGAAGATTATGCTAAAAATCATTGTGAATTTTATTAGGTACGTAGATATTTATACGCAATCTGTTATATTAAATAATATCGACAAGAGTCTAGCAAGATTTAATTAATATATAAAGAATTAATAAAAAAAAATTGTGTATATTTGCTTGGAACAAATAAATAATAACGATGTAAATAACAAGAATTGTGTGTAAATGTTTCAATTTGTTTTCTTCACGACTTGTTCGCCTTGTGCTTTAAATTTGTTCATTATATACATATATTTATATTTCTCAAAGCTCTTTTTTTATTTCAACCTAGTAGATATTTACTGCAACATCAAACTTATTACTAAAAAACGATATTTATCGATATTTTAATATAAAAATATCATAACAAATAATGGAATTAAATTTTTACGTTTTATTCTATGTTTAATCAAACTGAACGTGAAACCTTTTTAATTTATATAAAACATACAATATTAGAAAACTAACAACAATCATAATAACATAATTAGATATGCCAATACGAAATCTGAATGTATTTTTAAATGCATCTATCTAATGTACAGGAAAAAGAGAAAGATATGATATAAAAAACATAAAATTTTAAATAATTTATTAAATTTGCTTTTTAATAACAAATCTTTATCGTCGAAGACATGCATTATTTTTTATATATATATATA